TTCTGATACGCCACCAAAGAGTTTGATGACTGCATGTAATAATTTCTTTCTGAATAAAGCGTAATAATTTCCCCCTGAATGAAGCCTTTTGAAGAGAAAATTTACATTTTATATTAAAAAAAATCAAAATAATAACATCTTAGATGTTGTTACCTAAGTGTAAAATATAAATAAAAAAAAAGTGTAAAATATAAATAAAACTGAACCAAAAGAGTTCAAAAAAGTTAGGTATCCCCTACCTGAAGTATGGCGATCCAGTATTATCTCTCACCGCGCTAACGCCGGCGATCTTCTCCACCACGTCCATCCCATCAATGACCCTCCCGACCGCCACCGCCGCCTCATCCATTTCCGGCGAATCCCTTGTCGCAATCACAAACTCCGTCCCGTTGGGCCCCACCTCACCCTCTTCTTCCACCTCAATCCGCCCATTCCTAGCCACGATTCGGGTTGCAGGCGCAGATCTTGCCGGATTCCTCACCACGATCCCCACCGTTCCCGCCGTGCTTCTCAAGCCCGCACATCGATCCGCCTCCGCCGCCCACTCAGAGATGAGTTCGTCGGCGGCGAGGTCCATGCCGGAACCCCGGCGCGCGAGATCAGCGTCGATGCCGTAGGATCGGACGCCGGCGTGTTGGACGAAGGTGGGGGCGATCTTGATAAACTCTTTCCGCCGGAAGCTGACGCCGGCGGAGCCGGACGCCAGAGAGGCGAATCTTGTCGCGGCGGCGGGTGAGGCAGCGCCAAAGAGGCCGATAATGATGCGGCCGGCGGGTTTGCCGGCAATGGAAATGTCGAGGAAGGCTTTGGATGTTACAGCGGCTGAGGATGGGCAGGGGGAAGGGAGAACGGCGGAAAGAGAGGGAAAGGGAAAGGTGAGGGAGGAGAGAGAGAGGGAGAGGGTGATGGCGAGACGGCGGGAGATGATCGGCGGCAACGGCGACGGCGGAGGAGAGGAGGGGAGAAGCGCGTGCGGTGGAGATGAGAGGGAGGGGATAAGCGTTTTCATTTTGGTTTGTGGTGAGAGTGTATTTGGGACTTTATTTTACTTAAATTTGATTTTATTTTGAATAATATATAATTATTGAATGATATCATATTAATATCTATAATTTATATATCT